CGTATCGCGCGGGACAAATATATATTATGCAAACGTTTCTCGATATCAACGCGCGACTCGTGGCACGAATAAACGTTAATAACGGCGACCGATCAACTGTCATTCGCCCTTGGTTTATATAATTTTCACAGTTATCTTCCACGTCCATGGACAATCGGGTCGTGTAAAAAGGACAGGGGGATCCGGTCAGATCAACGCCACTGTCCCAATTCCCGTATCGAAAGAAGTCGATAGACAATGTTGCGCGATCAGCAAAATACAAAGCCCGCGAGTAATCGTGCGAGTATATCGAATATATACTCCTCTCCAGGACCTCGGATCCGATCGATCCGTTTCAGAGGATAGCAACGAGGAAATATCTTTTTCTCCTCTTTCGCAAAATATATGTAATTGGATCGAAACGGATGTATGATTTCGATAAAATAATTTTCTTCGATTCGTGAATCGAAATTTGAACGGATTTTGTCGAAAAATCAAAATTCCATTCTTGGCGAGAGAGTGGATTAATCGGCGAAGGATTCGATTCGATCGATCGATTTATTCGCGTTTACGTCGCGTCGATCGAGCCATAAATTTCATCCACCGTCCGAGTTCGTGTCCAAGCGTTTTTCTTTTTCTTAGGTGCGTGTTTTAACGCGCCTAATCGAGCGTGCAACATCTAGAATAGAAATGGTAATTGGTAAAAGTTTAATTCAAACATTAGCGAGTGTAATTTGTCCATCGAGAATAAAAAGAAAGAGCATAAACGAAACGCGTAATTTATAAAACGCGTGGCGTCGTTTCATCGATCGAGGCGAAAATTTGAACGCTTTCAAAAACGTTTGAAAGCTCGAAAAATTCAATGACGCGAGGATTCGATTCGAAGATAGAGAGAAATTAATTCGACGTTAATCCGACTTCCACTCGTGGATACTTCCACTTCGTATCCGAGGATGCGTTTCTCCAATTTGAAACCGGATACTAAGCGCGGTACTAAGTGTACTAATTAAGCGCGCGGTGTGTCGGATGGAACACGCGCGTAATTGGGCCATCTTTGGCGCATCAGGATTTTTCGCTTCAATTTATTCGTCGAGATCGACCTTGCGCAAAGTGCGGGTATCAAGAGCACGCCATCATCCAAAGTCAAGCATTTTCCATTCGGTCGCGATGAAAATTCTCCTTTCACCTACTTTCCTTCTCGGAACCGGAGATATTCAAGGTTGTCGGCATCGTTTCCTTATTTAAGATACAAGAAGAGTGTCGAGGAGAATGAATCGATGAAACGGAGAGAGAGGTGAACCGTTAGTCGATATTCGGTCGTGTAATATACGTGTAAGAAGCACGACCCGTTTGCAAATTCTGTTCTATATATACCAAAGTAGATATATATATATATAGTCACACCGATACGTGATGATATCTGACCGATTGTTTAAAGATTAAAAGCAGCGAGAAGACGCGAAGGGAAGAATGGAAGAAGAGAAAACGATAAAGAGGAAGGAGGCTCGATAACGTGGCCAATGTCGCGACCTCGATACTCGATCAGCCTCCCCCCCGATTATCCCCTCCCCCCTGCCTCGATGGAAGGAAAGAAAAGGAAAAAGAACGAGTCGATGAGAGGTCGCAAACGTGGTAAACGTTCGTCAACGAAAGGGACGAAAAAGATCGAAAAGTCGACGAGTAGTCGAGCCGTGCGAGTAGGCAAAGTCACGCAATTTCTATTTCTTCTTTCGAGAAGAAAGAAAATATATGTGATATACGTATAATAACGCGATCGAACTAATCAGGAATCATAGATCATAGATCGTGGAAAATCGTAAGAATAATAAGGAAGAAGAAGAAAAAAAAATAGGTAGACAGATAGATAGATAGAGATGAAAAGTTCCTTTTAAAAAAGAGGGATGTGTACGACGACACGTTTCCGTTTCGGTGTGCGTATAATCCGTTCGCGTATAGAACAGTGTACATACCGAGGGCATCAGCTGATCGGTAGACCTCACCCGGGTCACCCTATTTCTGTGAAGCACTCTCTTGACGAGCTTCTCCATCGGTTGGTTCCACTTCATGAAGCTCACGTAAGCCAAGTAGAATCCGAAGAGTACGAGGGCCTCGTACCAGTGAATATAATTATCGCGGAAGAAATAGATCAGGGTGAGCAGACTGGCGCTATAAAAGGTGCAATCGCGAAACAGGGGCCACCATGTGAGGGAGAGCACGGTACGGGAGAATATAGCGCACATGCCGATCACGAAGAGAATATTGAATACGGCGGAACCGACGATAGTGCCGATACCGACATCGTCGAACGACACGAACACGCCGATTATCGATGTGAAAAGTTCGGGGGCCGAACCACCGGCCGCCATGAAGGTAGCACCCGCAACGTCGTCGGCGATCTCGAGTTTCTCGATGATCACGTCCAAAGACGGCACGAAGAACTCGTCGCAAACGATCGCCAAAGCGACAAACATGTACACAACACCGATTACGTGAAGAATCACGGCACCGCGTCGCCGTTGATGGACGGTGAAGAGATCTTGGGGAAAGAGAGGCGCCTTTTCCTCGGTCATGTTACCGCCGACCTTCTTGTGATGGTGATGATGAATGGTACTGTTGTATCCGTCCTCCGCGCGTAGGTCGGCTTCATTGTTGTTCTCGTTTCCGTTCGATGGAAGCCAAGTACCGTTCACCGAGTGGGCCAAGAGGGGCGTAGTTGTCTTGTTGCCACTCGTTTGCAGAATGATCGGCGCTGGCCTGTGTCCCTCGATCGACGCGGGACCGATCGCTAGGGTCAGCAGGGCCGAGGCCAGTACCGCAACCGCGAATCGCCGCCTCCTCCTCCAACAACATGTACGTCGTTCGCCGCCTGTCACGATCATCGTCGTCGGTCGTGTTGCTGGTGCTGGTATCTTGCACCCTCGAGGACGTTCGCCGTCGTTAGCGAGTCCACCGTCCTCCTCCTCCTTCTCCTCCTTCGTCTTCTTCTTCTCCGTCCTCCTCCTCCTCCTCCTCCACCCCCCCGCCCTCGACCACCTCTCTGGCCTCCGCCGCCGCCTTCTCCACCGCCACCACCACCCCCTCCGCCGGCACCACCTCCACCACCTCCTTCTGCGTGTCGTATCGTGTCGCGGCGCGGAGGGTGTACGCCAGCAGAGGTACCCTACTAAGGCTGGGTCATGTTGAAACACCGAGGAGCTGCTCTCGCATGCTCCTCCACCTTCGATGGTTCCCTCCCCGATCGACCGCTCGAACTATCTTTCGCTTCGCTTTCTTTCTCTTCCGCCCTTTTTTTATTATTCCACCTTTTTTTTCTCTCTCTTTTTTTTTTTAACTATGTTGCTTTAAACTCTCTTCACTCTCGGATCTCTCTTCTTCTCCGCTTCCCTCCCTCTGCTTCTTCTCTTCTCTTCTCTTCTCTTCTCTTCCCCTTTGTCCTCTCTGCAAATCTCTGCTTCCGTTGTATTATTCTTATCGCTACTCTTTTTTACCAGACATATCAGAGAGAGGCACGACGTCGTCGTACTACACCACTGCTAACTTCACGTCGTCGATATGGATAATATACAACTGGAACGAGGAATCGTTCACGGCGCGTACTACTATTACGATCTCTAATAACTTTAATCGATATTAACGTAGAGATACCGTCGTCGTTTACTCTCCAACAATCACTCTCGATCTAATCATCGACGCGGGCGATGTCGTCGGATATCCCGTTTCTCCTCCTCTTCCTGCTTCCCGGCGACGTCGTCGTCGTCGCCGTCGTCGCCGTCACTGTCGTCGTCGTCGTCGTCGTCGTCGTCGTCGTCGTCGTCGTCGTCGTCGTCCTCGTCGTCGTCGTCGCCGTCGCCGTCGTGGTCACTAGGATGCGGTGGATGGTGCATATAACCCTGGATGGATATACAGGAGCAGCAGAACGGCGCCCCCGCCGCGATGCCCGCCCGCTGCACACTGGAACAACCCTGTTCCGTTCCGTTCCTCTCTCTCTCCACTTTCCACTCCCTTCTCTCTTCGCCGCCGCCACCACCACCACCACCACTACAACCACCCATCGCCGCCACTCTTCACCCCTCCGCTATCTCGCTCTCATTTTCGCTCCACGCCATCCCTTCGACCGATTCTCTATCCATTCTCGTCTCTCTGTATCTGCTCGCATCAGCTTCTTCCATCTTCTTCATCGACATTGGCCGTCTTTCGTCCTCCTCTTCTCTCTTTTTCTTTATCTTTCGCCCTTCGTATCCCTCTCTTTCCAATTCAACGGAACCACACTGGATCGTCTCTTCCCTTTCCTTCTATAACTCTATATACCCCACCCTTTCCGAGTCTCTTTTCCACCGATGCCGCGTAGCGCATCCCTCTTCTTTCTCGACGACGCTACTCCTCCTTTTTCTCTCTTCCACCACCCTTTCTCTCCTTCCCACCTTCCCTCTTCCACCCCCCCTCCTTTCCCTCTCCCCTCGCCCCCTCTTTCCACTGCTACCAGAAGAGTCACCCTCCGACATTTGCCGTTTCACTCACCGCTACCCGTGCCACCCTACTTTTCTCTTCGTTTCTCTCGAAATTTCTCCCCATCCACGACACTCGCTCGTGGTGGTGGTGGTGATGGTGGTGGTAGCTCGTAGAGGTGGGAGCCTGCGCACGTGTAAGCTCTAGTAACGTACGTGTACGTTGGTCGATCGAGTGTGTAAGTGTGCGCGAGCGCAACTCTCGCTGAACCTCCCGCTCGATATCGAAGAGTCGACTCTACGACTCTACGCTACGAATCCACATATACCGGGTGTCGCCACCATCATCATCCTCCTCCTCCTCCTCCTCCTCCTCCTAGTCGTCAACGTGTTTTTCTTTCGCGTCGTTCACTTCTCGCTTCGAACCACGGGATCGTGCCAATCGCGGCATCTTATTCCTCCTTTATTAAAATTAAGAGATTCTTATGAATTATAATATTCGATGAAGTAACATTTGGCGGACTCTTCGCTTCTGTATCGGCTCTTTCGTATCTCTCGGTTTCCAAGTGGATTCCAAGGATCACCTCTTGGAATTTTCGACGAATATGCGTTAACCATTTTGGAGAACGTTTTTTATTACAACGACGATTGTAGGTCTCTCCAATTCAAAAGAAAATTCGAAATAATCCGCGTGATTCCAAAAGAATCACGAAAGTTGTTGTATTTTTTGTTAAAACGAGACAGCGTTCAACCTTCATCCTCCAGCGATATCGTCGCAACGAGACGAGCAAAATGATGGTCTAATGTCGAAAGTTTGGACAATGCCTCGAGTATCGTGTCTCTCGAGCGATTCAACTTTTTAAGCTATACTTAAGGACGAAAGAAATTCGAGACTTGTTTTCTCTTCGAAAACTCTAGAACACGGTTCATCGATGTTTAATAGAAAAGATGGTATCTCGATATTTGCGTGCGACACGGTTACTCTAAATTTCAGGCGCCGTGCAACGTTTGTTCGAGCGATAAGTAATGTCTATCGTTAAACAATTGCTAGTTCTCGTAAACTTAATATATCCGATTCAACGTTTCTCGCGACAAGAATAACGAGTTTAGCGTAAAAGTTTGTTATCGGAGAAACGGTTAGAAACGGAATAATATTTCCTCGTCAGCCTTGTCAGAACGAATCATACCCTTCTTCTCTCTCTCTCTCTCTCTCTCTCTCTA